AAGTCCAGTTATAGTCGGGCTAGAAGACATGCAGTTCGGTCGGGTGCGACACTTGAAGTTGCATTCCTAGCGTCGGACATGCAACTGTCCCACCCCCTCTCTCGCCGCCCCCTCCGACAAAACAAAGGTCCAATTGCAACCATGTTAGGGGACATGTAGTTGCGTTCTGGTGCGGCACTTGCAGGTGTGGGGATGTTGTCGGGCTTGCAACTGGCCCGCCCCCTCTACTGGCGCCCCCTCTGACATAACAAAAACTTCCAGTTGCACTCGGGCTAGAAGACATGGAGTTGCGGTCGAATGTGACACTTGCAATTGCATTCCTAGTGTCGGGCATGCAACCGGCCCTACTGATCTCTACTCGAACCACAAACAAAGTTTAAAAAAAACTCTAGCCAGAAACAAAGTCTAGTTGGCCGGTGACAAATATTTTTGAGAAGGAAAAAAGATAAGTTACACGCCAATGACATACATACAACTGTGTGTGGCCGATGTGCATGACACTGTGTGTGCTCAACGGTTGGAAAGAAAAAAAGTTGCATACGGACACAGACAAAAAAACATGTAATTACATGTGATTAAATGTACATGCAATTGTGTGCGATCGATGTATGTGTACACATGTGACAATATTTTATTAAATAATAATAGCAATAGAAAATAGAAAATAAAGAAAAAAATAAAAAGAAAATGGGAACAAACCAAAGCGAACAGCCCTATTTCCTGTCCCCATGCAACACGAGTACTAACAGAAAATTCAGCCTGGAAGAAAGCCCAAATAACAGACAAATGAAAAGGCACACCACCCCTCACGGCCAGCCCATGTGGCATCTCTGTCGAACACAAAGAATAGAAGAGAAGGCAAGAAAAGAAAAAGGAAACAAGACAATGAGCCGGGAGCACAACTAAGACAGGCCGATACAGCGCAAGGAAACAGCAATCCTGAATCTCAAACAGAAAACGATCGAAGGTCAAAGTACATCGACTGAGACTTCCTTAAAACTCAGTCGACTGAGTTTTAGCCATCCCCTAATTCATATAGTATAGAAGTCAACAAGTGACTGACGTAAGGGAAACCTTCATGCCTTTGCACGAGGCCCTTGACATACATATATGACACATCTCCTGTTTTCAGAAGCTTATGGTCCAAGAAAGGGCGCCCAAGTACACTTTGGATGTTGTATGATGGCCGTTGCTAACCTTATTAATCTCGCATGTATGACCATTTTTTAGCAATTAATTCACCTTTGAGCAGCTGAGCCTGACCTGCCCCTGAGAGCCAGTCAATGGGCTGAGGTTCCCCATCTTCACCATGGCTGAGGCGAAGGCGCTGCTGAACGCCGCTGGGTTGCTTGCGAAGTTGTTGACCGTGTTGTCAGTGCCGCCGCCCGTGCCGGTGAAGAGCACCTGGTCGGAGTGCAGGAGACCCTTCTGGGACTTGAGGTTGCTGTAGTAGGCGTTGTCGAAGGAGTACGGGGTCGACACGTCCAGATTGGCCAGGTTGCGGTCGCCGGAGCCGGTCGGCTGGGGGCAGTTGGCCTTGAGCGACGTCGCGAAGCCGGAGTTGATGTTGGTCTCGTTGTAGAGTCTGTCCCTGAAGTTCTGGCACTGCGCCTGCCCGATGGTGTGGGCGCCCGAGAGGGCGACCATGTCGGTCACGGTGAAGCCCTTGTCGCCGAAGGATTGGGTGAGGTTAACGAGGTCGAAGAATGGGGGAGGTAGGTCGGAGTTTGCCGCCGCTTCGTTTGCATTGGTGGAGTCCCTCCTTCCAAGAGGAACCGTCCACGAAGGCCCTCCTAACTGTACCAGAGGACAAAACAATATCCAGGGTGAGCAAATTAGCCGGTCTACTTGGTGGTGATCATGACGTGACACAGGTTGGAGATCTTACGGCGACGACAGAGTCGCGGGCAGCGACGGTGAGGATGTCGGCGCACGAGACGGTCTGCTTGCACATAGTCTCGAGCTTCGCCTTGATGCTGTCGATGACTTCGAAGCCTCGCAGCGACATCACGTTCGGGAAAGCGTTTTGTTCCATGCCAGACAGCAGAACAGACGCGTCGCAACCCTGCACACGTAGTTAAGCAGCATGGTTAACTCTGCACACTGGTGTTTACCAAACAAAACTGCAATGAAAACAGGTGTGTGCCGACGATCAGGCTATGTACTAGTATTTTAAGAGCTTACTTGGACGAAGCAGTCGTGGAAGTGCAGCCGGAGCAGCGACGCACCCATGCGGTTCTCCTTATTCACGGCAGCCGTCACGGCGGCCTTGATGGTGGCCAGAGCATTCGGGCACGTCGTTTGGTAGAACGTCGGCGACAGCTGCGCCGATGCCGCCACGGCCAGGCACAAGAGCAACACGGTTGATAGAGACGAAGTAGAGGCCATGGCTTGTTGCTAGCCAACGTCTAGTGAAGGACACTAGCTTAATTGTGATAGGAAGAGACACTTGTACTCGATGATGCAATGCCCTGCATTCCATGCAGATATATATAGCCGCTTGCAGGCTTGGCAATTCTGGCACATGGCGATTGTAGTGGCCAGTGGCCAGTGGCCGCATGTCCACATCTGCCGTTGGCGTGCCAAATTTTCCTCTTTTACGGGCCGTTATGGTGCAACTTGGTGCATGCATGGAATAATACTGCAAAGTCGCAATCATCAGAGGGATATTCAGGTGACTAAGTTCTTCTACTATGATAGAGCATGAGCCAGAGCTAGTATATAGCTTGACGCGTGGGAAGTTTATATTTTCTAGCAGATGACTGCTATTTAATCTGCTATGAACATGGCCACACATGATATTCATTGATCCATGCTCTGAGTCGCCGCGGTTCATGGCTAGATATGAGCCCCGAATTGAGCGCGAAACGGAATCATGTTTCTTCGTGCACCTACGTGGTGCGCTGGTACTTTTTACTAGTACTTTAATGCATGCGATATAAGTATCAGAAAATATATGTGGTATTCCACTATCCGTTGATCATGGGTTGAGATTTTAGCTGACGGTTGCAGCAAGTGGCTGGTCGTGCAATATAGTCCCTCATCTATCTTTCCCTCTCAGACGATATCCATCGTCATTCAAAATTCAATAGGATAAGAGGGTTGGGGTACTCTGATCCTAGATATTTAAGTCAGCAAGTAAGCAATTCTATGCACGCGAGCAAGGGAAAACAAATAGTTTTGTCCACTAGACACCCGGTATTGCATGCCAGCCATTCAGCAAGGGATTGGTCTTGGCTCGAAACGCTGTACATGGACCGGTAGCAGATTTCGTTAAACAAATGACCACGACATGCATGCACCTACAAGTGGAAGGCGAACTGTGCCGGCTACTAGTACTCGGATATAGATGCTGCCTGTGTTTAGTCGTGTTTTGTTGACTGGGTTCTCCAAGAGTTCGTGCTCGACGCTTCTCCTCGGGCTGCGAGCCGGAGCGGTGCCACGCCGCGGTCACACCCCCACCGGAGGAGACGCCAACCAGACCGATGGGTTTCCGGCTATTTACGTTTGGGATCCGGCTGTCAGCACGACTTGTCGCACGAGCCCGGGCCGCCTCATATCCGCCCTTCATTTGGGCTGGATACGAGGGTTGCCGGTCAGTCCACGTGTTTGAGGCCGGTTTGAGGCACCTAGGTCGGTCAAGGTTTGTTGACCGGTCTGTGACCAGGCTGACCGCGCGGGCGTTTTAGAGCGGCTTGAGGCACCCGGCTGTAAATGCTCTAATCCCCTAAGAGCATCTCCAACAGGTGCGTTTCACATCGGCGCGGTATAATTCATTTGCAGCGTTAAAATAGTCTTTTTGCGCGCGGGAGCGACGAGGAGGTTTTTCATATGCACAAAAACATGGCGCCCAATCCGACAGCCCTACCTGCAGCAGCCCAGATTTTGTAGCGCGGGATGCAGTTTTTTTCAGCGCACTGAAACTTATTTACCACGCGGGATTATAGCGCGACTCCTGAAGCGCTACTTTCGGTCGCGCGGCGCTATATAGCCCTTTTATCCAGCGTGCGCTTATTTAGTGCATCTATTAGAGATGTTCTAAAGAGCTGACCATTTAAGGGTTTTTTTTAGGATGGGTTAGAGTCCCTCTTGGGCGTTGAAATCATTTCCATATGATTTGCCGGCATGGTGGTGTGCACCGATGATAACCCATGACTTTTCTAACTAAAAATGTAGAGTTCGTCAGAAACAAAAGTGATTATGTGCAACTGGGCATGATTAAGCAAAGGAAAAAATAAGTATGCAACTCATCCATTTGCACGACGGCCCCTTGAGATACTCAGATGCATCACATGACACACCATCTTCCCACACTTGATGATGATCCGAGAAATGGCACAACGTTCTTGTACATGATCAGCACAAGTACAATAACTCCACAGCCTTATTATGTCCGCCTTTGATCGCCCCGGATTTTAGACCGGGTAGCTTAGTTCACCCGGGAGCAGCTGAGCCTGACCTGCCCCTGCATCCCGGTGAGCGGACTGATGCTCCCCATCCTCACCATGGCTCCCATGAAGTCCCTGTTGAACCGCGCCGACCCCGACGAGTATGTCCGGACTAGGCCCGCGGTGCCTCCGTCGTTGATCAGAACCTGGTCATAGTGCAGGAGCCCCTTCTGTGACATCAAGTTACGGTAGTATGCATTGTCGAACGAGTTGGGCGTCGTCGTGTCTAACGGCGCCAGGCTGCTATCGCCAGACCCGGTCGGCCGGGGGCAGTTGGCCTTGAGAGATGTTGCGAAGGCCGTACCGATGTTGGTCTCGTTGTAGAGCCTATCTCGGAAGTTCTGGCACTGCGCCTGCCCGATGGTGTGGGCGCCAGAGAGGGCGACCATGTCAGTCACGCTAAGCCCCTTGGCAGCAAAGTTGGATGTGAGATTGGCCACGTCGAAGGATGGCGGCGGAAGGTCGCTGTTGGCCAGAGACAAGCTCGCCGTCGTCGAGTCCCGCCTCCCGAGAGGAACGGTCCACGAAGGCCCTCCCAACTGCAAGCAAATAATAAAGAACTAATAAGTTGCATAATTTACTGTCGTGTGCGTTCAGCAAATTGACTGCAGTGGCGTCGGATCGATCTTACGGCGACGACGGAGTCGCGGGCGGCCACGGCGAGGATGTCGGCGCAGGAGACAGTCTGCCTGCACACGGCCTCGACCTGTGCCTTGATGTTGTGGATGACGTTCATGCCTCGAATGGAGCCGGCGTCTTTTTTCTTTTTTTTTTCTTTTTTTGCATCGAATGGAGCCGGCGTTGGGAGCTGCCCCCTGCTCGCCCGTGAAGGTGGCTGTGTCGCTCAGCAGTACGGACGCGTCACAGCCCTGATGCATCGATCGTCACACACATAAGAAATTACTTCCGTCAACATAGATTCGGTACATTCTAATTCCATTAGTTGATTTGAAGTGAAAAGTCACTGTCAAAGTGCCAAGAAAAAATGAATTGGAAAGTCACTGTCAAGTGAAGAGTCTAAATAGGAAATGCTACACCTACGTAAAACAATTCCGCATGCAGCTCCCACTCCATTAACATTTTGATAGTGTAATGACTTTGACTACAGTTTAAACTGAAACCTTCTAAATTAAGTACTCCCTTCGATCCACTAAATCAGCAACAATTAATATGGATTTTTATAGATTAGCAGTAGAAACTACAGTAAGTGAAGAGAGAAGGCTTGAGGGACTTGCTTGAACAAAGCAGTCGTGAAAATGCAGCCGGAGCAGCGACGCTCCCATGCGTCGCTCACTCCTCACGGCGGCCGCCACACCCCTCCTGATGATGGCCAGCGCCCTGGAGCACGACATCGCGTAGAACCTAGGTGAAAGCTGCGCCGAGGACGATGCTGCCAGGCACAGGAGCAACAAACCCGACAGAGAAGAGGCCATTGCCATTGCCATCAGTGTACTTCCGTATGCAAGCAGGCACTAATCCTGTTGAGATGAAAGCTCTATGCATTGGCCTGCATTACTATGACTGCATATACCCGTTTATATAGCTGACAAATTTCAAGCGATTGTGCAGCCCGTGACAGTCCATTTGGTGTAACATGACAACGGGTACTATTTATTTTGGTTGGAGATGGATATAGTACGGTTGGTATGGTGTTCCTAGTGCAACGCAACAATGAACAATGGGAAATCTATTGGCTAGCTAGTAGGCTAGGGTTGTGGTGGCGGCACCACAAGCTCAGAATTATCGTAGCTCACCAAATGGTTCGGAATATTAGTTGGTTGGCCCTGGCAGTGTTCATCAATACATATGACCCTTGCAGGCCTGCCAGTGTCAAAAACACTCATATATTATGGGACGAAGGAAATAGCTGTGAGAGGCACCAATGCTGCACCGCCCAATACATGTTCTGCACAAACACAATCACACAACATGTTCTGCACCACTGTTGCATGTTTGAAATCCAAAGTATGACTAGTAGGGAAATGGGCAGCATTTGAGAAAGTCCTCATCTGGTGGCCAGCTCAAATGAGCTCATTATGAACAGTAAAATCCGGAAAATTTCTATTACAAATGTTTTCAGAGCTCGCAAATTTCATCCTGGAATGGTATCTGTGGAAGTGGTGGCAAAAAATTACAAAATCAACGCTCCAAAATGCTTTCGGAAATACCTTTTTCGGAGCATCAATTTTTTTTTCTGCCAGGACTACCCCGAATGTTACTCCATGATGAAATTCTGCAAGCACTGAAAACATTTTGTCAATGTTCATCCCAAAAATATTTCAGAATTTTTTGAATTTGTCTTCATTTTTTTTATTTTACTGTTCGCCCAAGCCCATTTGAACTCGAGCTGAAATATTTCGCGTTTGAGGTTCCGAGCATTTGTGTTAATCATGACCTAGCATTACTGTGTCCGAGCAAAAGAAGTTTAAGTTCTTCCACCCAATACATGTGGTTGTTAACAGGTACTAGGATGCCAGCCATGCAAAATTCTGCAAGAAAGGTCAATAAATTGATTTTGAGTGATTGAGATGTGTAAATGGAGACAAAGAAAATACTATACTGCATGGTGTACTAATCGTACCATGCATGATTTTTAAAGATACAATGTACTAGTATGTGTTTATCCTTCTTCCGTTGACTGCATGCACCCATCCGTCAGTTAATAGTCCAATAACCAATTTTAATTTATTTTTTCGACAAAGCGCTCAGTTAAGTCTAACTGCTATTGATCACCGAATACTGATACACCACTTGTACCAAGCATATTCCCATCCATACATCCTGAGATGAGATGGATATCAGTATCACTGTGTTTCTAGTTTCTAGACCTCCGACGGTAGAGCGACTTCTGTACTGTTGATGATGCACTACCTGAAACACAGCCAAGTTCAGACCTATATTACTGAAGTGTTTAGACAGCTAGACACTTTCCTACATAAGGGCATATCCAACAGCGACCCGCAAACTTTCTCCCGCATTCGTTCACGGACACGGATGCGGGAAACTGTCATTCAATCTTAGCCGCATACATTTTAACAATAATTCAAAACAACCAGATGAAATTCATTCAAACACGGCCGGATTTCATATAAACACGGCGCGGTTTCATATCAACATACTGGATTTCATTACATTTACATAAACTAAGCAGCGTTGTTCCGGCTCTGGAGGTATAATTAATATCTAATCTAAATGGTCACCGGCGCCCGTTTCCCGTGTCCGGCCATGAGCCCCGAGAACTGAAGTTTTGCCTTCTCTAGTTCCGCCTCGACGCTCTACGGCTCCGCCTCCGTAACCTCTGCCTCCGGAGACCCGGAAAGTGAAGTTGTCCGCATCCACGTCGCCGCCAAGCGACTAATCAGCCGCCGATACTGAGCCCGCCAAGCTTAACGTCGATGGGAAGGGAAGAGCGGTGGTCTTCCTGGGACACGAGCGGCGGCGACCTACCGCGCTACACTTCCTCGCTGCCGGCGGCGCCCGCGGACGTGTCGGCTTCGTGGTCGTCGCAGCGGGGCGCGACCTCGGCCTCCTCGTCGTCGCCGGTCTCGCCGTACACCACCTCGCCTGCGTTGTCGCACTCCTTGTAGGCAGCCATTGCCTGCGCCACCTACTGGTGGTACCACCAGCTGGCGAAACAGTAGGGCTCGAGAAATGCCTCTTCTCCGCTAGGTCCGCGTTCAGCGTGACCGCCCTGCCGTCGGCGAGCCGCCCCTTCGTCTCCGCCTGCACGTGCTCCTGGAGGAGGTGGTGGTTGTAGGCAGCGGCGGCCTGCGCTTCCCGAAACTGCTCCTCACGCACCATGTCCATGTAATGGGCACGAGCCTCGCCGATGGTCATGGTGCAATGCACCGGCGAGGGTGGCGCTGAGGAGGAGGAGGGTAGCGCCTGGTTGTCATGGGTAGCGTTCTCCATTGGGACGTCGTCGTCTTCAGTGAAGGCACCAGTGAGCGGTCACGTCCGCTCTGACCGGACATAAATGCGGGTGTTGGTTCTCTGGAGCGATGTTGACTGAAAGCGAGAGAGAGGGAGGTGCATATGCCAGAGCGGTCAGAAAACCGGTGTTGTCCGGACTCTCACAAAGCCACCCCACATTTTTCTTCAGTTTGCGGGAGAAAGTACATCCAAACCGCGCCGCGGATCGTTACAGAACTGCGTTGGATAGCTTTCACTATCCGGACAACGCGGTCCGGACGCATGCGAGGAAGGTTTGTGCGTCCGCATCGGAGAAGCCCTAAGAAACCTGAATTGAGTCCCGTATGCATGCAGGTGTTGCTGTCACACGTCAACTACCAACTGTTAATGGTATTCATACGAGGGTTAGTGAACAGTCCCAGCATTTAAAGATGTTTGTAACATAGGGATGGTCAATTAGCTGCAGTAAGGGACCTGGACTTGGAACATATCCTGAATCATAAGCAAAAGAAAATTCCGGTTCTTCCACCCCGCACATGTGGTTGTTAACAAGGCATGCCAGCCAGACAGCCATGCGAAATAATTGTATGGGAGTTCGGATTTCTGCGAGAAGGGTCAAGAACCGATTTGAGTGATCCAGATATGCAAGTGGAGGCAAAAGTAATATACTGTATATCGATACTAATCTACACGGTCCATGCATGTGTTTATCCTACTTTTGTTGACTGTGTGTATCATTCCATCTTTTGTTGACTGCTAGAAACTTGGGATCACAAGTTTATGACTGATCCATTGCAGGGTAGAGATGTATATTCATTTTCTAATAGAGAATATATAAAATCAAGAGGATTGTCTATTACATTAGTCTGTGCAGAGTCAATTGCAAAAAACCACCACATTTGCGGCTAGGTTTGCAGGAAACCACCAACTCGTTAATCCGTTACAGAAAACACCGAAAAATCTGTTAAGTCGTTGCAAAAAGCACTGATAAAATGATTTGATCTGTTTAATCACTTTTTTACAAGTGGGGCCAGAATGTAAGGAGTTGACATAGCAAAAAAATAACACACAACCCCTAGATCTAAAAATCAAAAGCAGTCCGACCCCCACCCTGCCCCCACACGCACGCGCCGGCCAGCGCCTCGGCGCCTCGAGTCCGCTTCTCGCTGATCAACATCAGGGCCTCCACCTCCGCGGCCTCATCCTCCTCCTCGGCGGCCTGCATCTCGGTGAGGAGCCCCGTGGACGCCGGTGAGGATGACACCTTCTTGTCCCTCCGCCTCGACTCCTCGACGATCCGCTCCTGGATGGCCGTCGTCGGCGCCGCCCACTGCGCTTGCTTGGCCAGCACGATGGGAGCGACGGGGGCTCCGAGGTGCGTCGCCATGGCATGCACTTGGCGCCCTGTGGACCAGTTCTTGGACGACACACTGAAGGAGAGCGCGCGGGCGGCGCACGAGCTGCACGGAGTCGACGACGCAGCCCGGGCGTCTGGGAAGAGCCTGGAGATGGCCCGGCGGGCGTGCGGTGGAGCGGTCAGGACAGAAGACGTTGAGCGGGTGGCCTCATTCCTCCCGCCATCCCAGCTCTGCCCCGGCTACGACGGGCTGCCGGAGGGCGTCGCCATCACGACCCGCGTGCTATGGAGGCGGTTCGCAGTGCAGCCGTGGGCACTAGCCGCCTCCTCGTCCTCCCCCGCGGTGTGGCCCTCTCCGTCGCTGACGAGGCCGGCCGCCTCCTCGACGAGGGCAGCAGCACGGAGTGGACAGGGCGTCGGTGTTCCACCGGGGGCTGATTGCTTTTGTTTTTTCAATCTAGGGGTGT